TGTTCACTGCTACAACTGTTGTTGCTGTGACTTCTACAGAAATAGATGTTTTAATTATTTCTGGAGAGTCTGTAATATTTGATATCTTAAATGTATTTTCCAGCGTATTGAACAAATCATGAAAAGAACACGACGAGGTGGGGCCAAGACAGAAGAAGATGAAAAGAAAGACAGTGAGACTAAAAATACTGAAAAGAAACACGAAATCAGCAAGAAAGTTGATTCTGAGCAAACCTCAGAGGAATCTGATAAAACATCAGAACAGCCACCAAACACTAAAAATAATGTCTCTGAACAGAAAGAGGAGGAAAGCAAACAAGAAGAAAATGAGAAAACTACAACAGTAGAGAATGGTGAAAATGAGCAACCCTCGTCAGATTTAGAAACTTCAAAAACTTTGACGACGCCAGATGACCAAGTGCTAATTGATTTCACTAAGAAGGAAAAGACAGAAGATGAAGAAGATGAAAAAGACATAGATACCACAGAGAATGGTGGACATGTTTCTAGTGCAATAGTTGAGTCTGGAGATGACAGTGTAAAAACAGTGCCTGTTATAAATGAAACTGTGTCTGAAGAAGTGATTAACACAGTTGAGAATTATACTCAGTCCAATGCTGGTGGAGATGTGTCATTGCTGGGCGATGAACCTCTTTTAGGTGATGCTGGATCACAGGATTATGCTACTAATGATGGTCATGGTGATTGGCAGGCAGATATTAAGATGACCACAAATGGTGATGCAGGTGCCGTTACTATAGATACTAGGTAAGATACTTTTATATCACCATTTGCGCTAAAGCACTCTGCATCTCAATGTTTGTCTAATGTATTCATTGACATATAAATGACCTTAATACTGATGTTTAAAAAAATATATTTTTCTAGGGAATATTTAGTTAGTTCTGTATTTATGCCATCAGAAGTGCTATTAGTACTGTATGTACGTGTCCCTTTTTGGACACTAGTTTGAACTGCACACATATATGAGACAATACATTGGACATGTGCATTTGTTTTATGATCTGATTCAAGATGGCTGATTGGCAGTCATTTTAAGGCCAAAAATGTCTCAGTTTACACATTTTCATCTGATTTTGGTCGTGCATGTACAGAATCAACATACATTGACCATAATATTAACTTTAATACACTTTTTGACTCCCGTGTGCAAAGCACACAATGGGAGTCTTTGCAGTTAGTTTGTCTGTCTGTGTTTGTGTGTGTTTGTGTGTGTGTGTGTGTGGGGGGGTCTGTCTGTTCCACTGATATCTCAAGAACCATACATCAGTTTTTGATGAAACTTGGTGCATGGATGCTCTGGGCCAATGCACAGATTTGATCAAGTTTTAGTAGAAATCTGTGCATATTAATTAGCTAATTTTTAGCTGTTCCATGACTGTTCCACTGATATCTAAAGAACCACTGATTGGATTTTGATGAAACTTGGTTCAAAAATGCTCTGAACTAATGCCAGTTTTTGATTAGTTTTTGGGGGAAATCTATGCATATTAATTACCTAATTTGCATAATGATTAGTAAATTTTCGGCTTTTCCACTGATATCTTAACTACTAATCGTCACTTTTCAATGAAACTTGGTACCTAGATGTCATAGGACACTGCACAGAGCTGGTAGTTTTTAGATTAATATCAGTACGTATTAATTACCTAATTTGCATAATTATTTAATTTTCAGCTTTTCACTAATATCTCGAGTACTAATCATGACCTTTGAATGAATCTAAAACTATGCAGAAAGCCAATTAGTAGTTGGTATATATTTATGCTTATTAATCTCCTAATTTGCATAATTAATCAATTTTAATTTTTCACACTGATATCTCAAGTACTAATCATCACAGTTCAATGAAACTTTGTACATAGATGCTCTAGGACAATGTACAAATATGATCAGTTTTGGGTTAAAATCTGTTCATATTAATTCCCTAATTAGCGTAATAATTCATAATTTTTTAGTTCTGATCACATTTCAATGATTAGGTACATAGATGGTCTGTTACATTGCGCAGACCTTATTAGTTTTACACTCAAATCTGTTCATTTTAATTTTCTGATTTGCATAATTAGTTTTCAGCTTTTCCATCATTATCTCAAGTTCAAGCAATTTTGAATTAATTTTGACTGTGTCTCTATTACTCTTAGCACACGAGAGTTCTTTCTAAGCTTTCTTTGATTATTTTTAAATTGTGTTCAAAATAGCCATTTTATTTTTAAGAATGCTGTTTCTGGTCCATATATTCAACATGCCAGAACTTCACACATACATCAGACAGCATATTTTTGTCACTTACATATTCCAAAATCTTGTCTATAATGCAAACAAGGACATTGAAAATGAATTGTTCTATTGGAAGTAAACTAAACTAATTTTATCCCATTTCACTATTCAATTGTAATATGACCATATAGCTATCAAATTTTGTATACTCTGATGGTGTTGTATTCTAAAACAAATATAAATATCCACTGGATACCAGGTTGTCTTCGGTGCCGATACATACTTTAATAAGGAGTTCAACATCAATGCTACAATATAATATTCAAAGATGCATGTTATAGTATTTGATTGGTTGAGAGAACAGGTCATATCGAGTCATTAGCATATTTTAGTGACATAAAAGTTTGTGGTTTGCTCATAATTTTTTCATCAACCTTGTGTTTTAGGTACATGACAACCACATGAAATCATCAGGTTTGACAGTTTGATGTGATTGATTATTTGTAATTCTTTTTCAGTCTTCAAGATGTCTCTTCAGAGAGGGTCGAGCTTGATGGTTCCATGACTACTACTACTACTACTATTACAACTACAGAAAAATTACAGCAGCCATTTACTTCATCTGATTCATTTAATTCAAATTATGTAGATAAAAATAGTGAGCAGCTAATAGAAAATACTATTACTACTACTACTACTACAGTTACTAGAGAGGATAGTACAGGTGAGATTTAAGTTTATTTGGAAGGGGGGACGCTAATAGGGTTGGGCATCATGTACCACATAAATGTAGAACCGTTTTGCTGACTATATCCTTTGTTCTTCACATCTCTTACATTTGACTGTTGCCCACATATTTTTGCTCTCCTCTTCGTTGACTCATTATTTTCTCTATAAACCATGTATGTTTTCTTTATGTTAGTGTCACATATACTGTCAATGTGTTAACATTGTCATTTAACACATCACCGTCAGAAAGCCTCTCCAGATCGTCACCCCTTTTTTTAGGTGACCTCCAACGCCAACACTGTGCTGAATGTCCTGAATACAAATTAAGAATAGTATACAATATAGTCACTTCATCGTATATATTTTCTTGTGAGTATACAGGATCTCACTGAGGTCTCTTGCTACATGAGCTAAGCTTAGCGATGTATAAATGGTAAATAGACAACACTGCTACATTGAAGCAAGAAGCTGATATTGCATCATTACTCTAAGAACGATTGATATACAATTGCACAATATTAAAAATAAATTCTGTTCATGTTGTTCTGTTGTTCCTAACAGCCCTATTAATGAGATTACACATTCTACTCTACATAAAC